TAGCTCTATTGTTAACATAAGGTGGACAAGGTAGACCATTACAGGTGGACCTTGTGAAGTAGAACAGAGCACCATCAGTATTGCCTTCACCACCATCAATAGATTCAGGATTTTCATCAACACACTCATAGGCAGCATTCCTAGCATGGTCATATTTGTCTGCCATCAGATATCCTTTATACTCCATAGTCCATGTTGAATCAGGACACTCAATTCTTGCAGGAATCATCAGTTTAGCAATTCTATTAGTTGCATAACATACTGCACAAGGAACATTGTGATCATGCTTTCCTGGAAATATATCATTAAAAACTTGATATTCAGATCCATGCATCTGGTTAATCTGAAGCATAGGTCCTTTAGGAGGTAAAGTTGTACTCATATATTGAGGGACCTTTGGTAAACAGACATAATTAGCTCCTCCTCCTGAATGAGTATAATGACTACCTCCAGTTATTCCCTCATACAGTAGTTCAGCTCCAGTAGGACAGGACTTCCTTCCCCAACGAGTGTACACTACTCCTCCACTTCCTTTCAATAATAACAATACAAACAATCATAAAGATTTATTTACCTTTGATTGTATACTTACCAGTACTTTTAGTGGATACAAATATAAAAGTAAAAAGAGTAGTCAAAATAAGGACAGACTCCATTAGGTTCATTGTTGGATTCGTCTTATGATCTTTTGAACTGAGTCAGAAGAAGAGGGTGGACAGTGAAAAGGGATGGACATCGGGAAAGGGGAGGGTAAATTGAAAGTGAAAGTGAGATGAATAGGAGGCTGAAAGGTTGACTGTCATTGATATGACAGATGCAAATAGAATAGGGGGTGGGTGCGTATTGTCTATTATTAACCAAGTAAGTATGTACGTTGTTTTAAAAGTAAATGATATAGAAAAGATATATGTTCATGGAGTAAAAAATATAAGACGACTATACTGCTTCAAAGTGAAAAAGGAAAGACTGACAAACCTAAATACATATTGTTTATTGTGGAATTTGTGATAGATTTGCCACATAAATTCGTCATTTTGTTTCGTTCTGAGCATGCTTTATGACACTACACTTTATGTAACAATATAATAATAATGTGACTATTATCATGTGAAGCCTTAGCTGCATGCATTCATTTACATGTACACCCTCTACATAATGTTAATGGTGAATGATATTAAAATATCTGAATATGAATTGTAGTAGTTGGCAATACTAACAGGTCCATAGCATAATATGACTGAACCATGATGTGACATATGAGGATATCTTTCTATTTTTTCTTAACTAATTTTTTTACAACAAAGTTCTTTTTCGAAAAACAAAGTGAATAAGACTGCACAGGTCAATAGTCTAGCAAGTTTGGCCACAATCTATTGAGCAGTTTCTGAGATTCACACTATACTACAATCAGACTACTTATCTTGCCCTTGCAAAGAAATGAGTAAATTATACGCAATATGTACACTGTAGCAAAAAAATTTAGAAAAAATAGTATATTTTAAAGACTAAGCAAAAATTCAAAAAATAGTCACTTATTACCGTAAGTGTAGAAATTTTTGAGCTGTATTAATTTTCGCTGTTTTCATGGGTACTAGCTAACTGTGAAAATTAATATTTTAACCCTTTATGAACAGAACGCCCACACGTCCAATTATAGTTGTTGATAACAATGGCACTGTACAAGTCTTCAAGCGTGTGGACAAAAATAAGGACAAGATAATGAAGAAGACAAACCTGAGGAGAAGTCACAAGCAGCTGGTGTTGCTAAAGATCCAGAGAAGTAAAGTAGAAAATGAGGAGAGTCCACGTGCAATAATTATTACATCACATGACCTCACTGACCACCCCTTTTATGATTATCCATGCAAAATTTATAAAATAAAGCAACTAAAGCAAAACCGCAAAAAAATTTATTACCTCGAAAATTTCTACACTTACGGTATTAACTTAAGCATGTTCAAATTGTTACTTAGTACACACAACACAAGTAATAGCTCTATTGTTAACATAAGGTGGACAAGGTAGACCATTACAGGTTGACCTTGTGAAGAAGAGTAGAGCACCATCAGTATTAGCACCACTACCATCGATAGATTCAGAATATTCATCAACACACTTATAGACTTTATTGCTTGCATGAACATGTCATTCAGTCATCAGATATCCTTTATATTCTATAGTCCATGATGAAGGACAGCTGGTTTTAGCAGGAATCATCAGTTTAACACTCTTAGTAGATGTATAACATACTGCACAAGGAACATTGTGATCATGCTTTCCTGAAAATATATTATTAACATTATCATATTCAGTACCATACATGTAAGCAGAATACTGTGGTACATTTGTACTCATATATTGAGGGACCTTTGGTAAACAGACATAGTTAGCTCCTCCTCCTGTATGAGTATACCATTCACCTCCAGTTATTCCCTCATACAGTAGTTCAGCTCCAGTAGGACAGGACTTCCTTCCCCAACGAGTGTACACTACTCCTCTACTTTTCATTTGACCTTTTAAACTTTTAAAATATAAAGTATCATTGAAGGTTCATTTACTTTTGATCTGTACTTTTAGTAGATGTAAATACAAAAATAGACAGTGTAGTCAGTATAAGAACAGACTCCAGGAGGTTCGTTGTTCTAATCGTCTTGTGATCTCTAAAACTCAGTGAGAAGGACAGTGAAAGGGGATGGAGATTGGAAAATGGGTGGGATACACGTTGTTACATGATATATAACATAATTCATGTTCTGGAGTGTAAAGTTCTGAGTATATAATGTTATACTGCTTCAAAGTGAAAAGAAAAGGCTATAATCCTTACCTATGTTAATCACAGCAAGGCCAATAATAACAGTACGTGCAGTATACAACTCTCCTTGCTTTAGTGTTGTGTATTAAAGCTTTGTATATAAGTCTATTATGCAACATGCCTCATGTATAATTGTATTTATTTCATTTCAATAATAATAAGATCTTGATTTGTCTTATCATTTGTGGTTATCATTCAGGTATGATCATCAAGGTCTTCCTTTATAATAACATTTCCCTCATCTCTGTAGGAGTAACTATTATTACATGTGACATTAATACTAGCTTTTATTGTCATTTAGCATCTTTTGGCTACCTTTATTCAAGCATCTTATGCTTTCTTTATACTTATAGCTACTATACAGCAACATTATTAAAAAATTTGTAAAATCTGTTTTATTAGACATTTAGCAAAAACAGCAACCTAATAAAGTTTACTATTGTCACTTAGTACACACAACACAAGTAATAGCTCTTTTGTTAACATAAGGTAAGCAAGGTAGACCATTACAGGTTGACTGGATAAAATACATCAGAGCACCATCAGTATTAGCCTCACTGCCATCAATAGTTTCAGGATTTTCATCAACACACTCATAGACTTTATTGCTTGAATGTTCCCCATAACCAGCCATCAGATATCCTTTATATTCCATAGTCCATGTTGAGTCAGGACATTCTATTCGTGCAGGAATCATCAGTTTAGCAATTCTATTAGTTGCATAACATACTGCACAAGGAACATTGTGATTATGCTTTCCTAGAAATATTTCATTAACACCTTCATATTCAGTACCATGCATTTCAGAATACCAAGTAGGTACAGTTGTACTCATATATTGAGGGATCTTTGGTAAACAGACATAGTTAGCTCCTCCTCCTGGTTCAGCATGGGGACTACCTCCAGTTATTCCCTCATACAGTAGTTCAGCTCCAGTAGGACAGGACTTCCTTCCCCAACAAGTGTACACTACTCCACTTTTAGGACCACCATTTTTGAAAAGGGACAAAACAACAACCTTAAGGTTTATTTACTTTTGATAATATTCTTACCAGGACTTTTAGTAGATACAAATACAAAAATAAAGATTGCACTCAAAATAAGAATGGACTCCTGTAGGTTCATTGTTGCAGTTGTCTTGTGATCTCTATAACTGAGTCAGAATCACTTTAAAACTCAGAATTCAGAAAAGAGTGAGGGCAGTGATTAGTGGGTTAAAAATAAGTGACATCATTGATATGACTCATGCTGATGTGCCATACAGCCATTGGACCATGGATAGCCACATAATAAAAATGGATAGTCTAGGCAAGCTTAATTATGTTGAAAATCTTTTATTAAGGAACTAGTTTATTGTGAATTAGATTGGGTCTTGAGCTCTGATGTTGAAAGCACAGTTATGCTCTAACAATTAATGTGATCATTTAGCTGCTCTCTGTCTTGTCAATTTTTATAAGAATTTTATGTTGTGTCTTAACATTGGAAATGAAGTGGGAAAGCATTACATGCATCAGATTATATGCACATTGTTTTAATGAATTATGTGCATATTGATGAGCACTAAGGCTGCATTGCTTTAAAGTGAAAAAGAAAAGTTAAAGAAGAAATATAATTCTTACTCTGTTAATTGTTGCAAGGCCAATAGTAACACAGTACATGTACACACTACCAGTTGCTGTGGATTAGAGCTTTGTGTATAATGATGGGACATATATCATGTATTATTGTATTTGTGACCATATTTGACAAAAGGTACCTTATGGTGGGTAGTGAAATTTGTCTTTATAGCTAAAAAAAATCCAACTTCCTGAGCTCCATTTATCATAAAATTACTCCACATGATGCAAAAAGTTACTATATAACTTTTAGAAACAACAGTTGTCCAATAGAGCATCCACAGGTTGATAATTTTCACTATAATGATGAATTTTAAAATCTGCCAGAAGGTACCTTTTGTCAATTATGGTCACATTTATTTCATTTTAGGTTCAAGTTGGTAGTACTATTATAGCTTATGTCACACTAGCTGATTTTAGGAAGGAGCCCTTCCCCTCCAACCAACACTGGCTAATGAAACTACAGTCTAATCTTAAAACTGACAATATTGAAATAAAGTGAGGGAATCAATCAGTAATAATTATTGAAGTGCTATTCTTTCTCTTAGGCCAGCGTCTGAGTCTCTCTTAGCTACACTACCAGCGAATGAGACTGACGTTAGCTCAGTTTTTGTCATTAAGGGGATCACCATGGGAACTGCTATCCTATTGTTCAATGCTACCACCACAGCTGGTAAAGTAATCTCAAGCCCGCCAGTGGAAATACAGGTACTGTGTGTATAACACTGTATTGTAGATTAAGCTCCCCTTAACCTCTCTCTTCAGGTATTTGATGCTCTAAAGTTGGATCCTACTAACATTACATTAATACCAACAGCAACTTATCAGGTAATTGACAGTCATAGAGTTACATGTGTATAAACATTATAAGAAAATTTTATATGCCTTACATGTGTGTGATTGATGCCTTACATGTATGTGTGATTGTGTGATGGTTTCTGTACATTATTAGATAATGAGTAGTGGTGGTCCTCATCATAAAACTGATATAGTCTATTCAGTTGATAAAGACTACATTGCTTCTGTTGATTACAGTGGACTCATACTAGCCATTACACCTGGACATGCTACTGTCACTGGTAAGCTAGAGAGAGAGAGAGAGAAGAGAGATACATCATTATTTAGCATGTTATGATCATCATACATGTACATGTAATTATGGTTGCTTTTCTGACATTTTAGTGATTCAATAATTATTATTTATAGTTATATTAATTTTCTTTGTATTGTACACAATGTACATGCTGTAGGTACTGCCCAGTCGAGTGAGCCATCAGGTGGTTCAGTGTTCATATATTCAAGTGATACAGTCAATGTTAGGGTAGTCAGGTTGAGAGGAGTCAGGATAGTTATACCATCAACTACACTAGTCACTGGAGAAGAGGTAGAGCAATGTGCATGTGTGTTGTGTTGTGTTGTAGCTGAACTGTTAATGTTAGAGTTATTTGGAGCAAGTCCTAGCTGTTTCTAATTGTGACCTAATTGTTTCTTGTTATTGTGTTTTGGTCGCAACTTTAAAAATTCATTAAAAATTCGGTTTTGGTCGAAATTAGCTGACACTCAAAATGTAATATACTGACGTGTATGTGTATTAGGAAAAAAAATAAAAGTGGAGAATTCTCTCCTTTTCATTTTTGGCGAAATTTGTTGAAAGATCCTGTACTATAGTATAGGGACTTTGGTCCGGTTTTGGAGCAAATTTGAAAATTCATAAAAAATCTAGTTTTGGTTGGAATCAGCTCAAATTTTCTACACAATATAAGAACATGTATATGTATCAGAAAAAAATTATAAAAAGGGAGAAATTTTACTTGGCCATTTTTGACGAAATTTGGCCAAAGATCCAAGGCTATTATAGCCTTTGGTCATTGGCCTGATTTTCGCCATTTTTTATGAAATACAAAATTATTATTATTTATTTATTTTATTATCGATTTAGCTGTCAGTGTATGTGGAAGGCACTGGAGATGGTGAGACTCCATTTTCATTTGCTTCTTCTGTCCCTGGGCTCACCTTCTACTGGTCAGTGTCTAATATGGACGTCATGTCACTCCTCTCTGTCTATGATAATGTAAGCACATGACACCTGACATATACATGTACATGTACATGTACATATACATGTACATGTACATGTATATGTAGTACATGTACATGTATATGTACATGTACATATATGTGTACATGTAGTGTAATAAACTCTTCATCATTTTAGTGCACTATAAAATAATAAATTTACTACATTTGTACTTTGAGATACACATGTACATGTACTTCTTATTTTTACATGTTGTAAAGCTATGTACAGTGTACAGTTATTATTACCATTGTTAGATCTAGAAATATATTTTGGTAGACTAGTCTCTGAAAATAGGCACCTACATATAGGCTAAATATGAGAGAGACCAAAAGCTAAAAATGGGAAATTTCTAAAGACATAGACCATATAAATGGGAGACCAAAAGTCTCCTAAAGTAAAACTAGCTCCCTCTAGATCTAACAGCCATTACTGCATGCACATTTATCTTATGCTAATGCATTACTAACTACTAGTACACCTATCCATCATATACTAGGCTGGTATATCACTTGAGAATGAGAAGGACTTTGCTGCTCGTCTCCGCACCAGGAACCCTGGCTGGGGCTCTATCAAAGTGACAGTAAAGTGTCCACCTGGTGCCTGTATACCTGATGAGGCTAGCTTCACTGATGAGATCACAGTCACTGTGTTTGCTAAGCTGAGACTCATCACTCCCTCAGACTCTCACTTCTTGTTACCTCATAATGGACATGCTAAGATAATAACTAACAGGTGAGTGGGTATACCCAGTAATATGAAGAGGTCAGTGTAACGTAATAGTCTATGCAGATAACAGATTGATAAGATCATTTAGTAGGTCATTGGGATATGGGTCAAATTATTGTCTTGTTTTTGTTATTTTTTGTTAATTTAATTATGAATGGAAGAGTATTGTATATCCTGTTACTGGTTCATTGGTTTCCTTGTATTAATGGGGAAACTAGTGAGTCTTCCTTACTCTCACATGATACAGCACCCAATAATACTAATCAATATTATTATTATTATTATTAATTTAATTATCATAGTACTCTACTGACCTCAACTTGTAGACCAAATTAGAGTTAAATTATCAACCACCGACTAATCCTTAAAAATATGTCTAATTAATATTTATATATATATTTAGTATAATTATAATAATTAGTGACCTCTGTCATGAGTTTTGATAGCTCCTACTTCAAAGTGATGTGCCAGTAACAGACACTCTCAGCTGATCCTTACATCATTGATTCCCTATCAGTCACAGAGACTAAGGCAGACATGATGTCTTACCTACAGCTGTCTCTGGATCATGTGACCTTATTAGACCAGCTTAAAATTAGCAATATTCAATGACCAATTATTATTTATTAATGTGCATGTATACCTACCTACATGTACTTAGGTGTCATGTTGTTGGTCTGAACTCTTCAATTGGATTGTGTAAACTTTTGATAACCTATGATCCATTGGTAGTGTTGTTGGTGGTGGTAGCTTTATCACCTACATAACCTTTAGCACCCACTTATATACTGAATCACTCATGGGATACTTATAGAGATAAGAGGATAAAGGGGTGAAAACCACTATAGGATCATTAGTTTATTGATTATGAAATTGATTAAATTGCTGATGTACATGTACATATATATATATATTTAAGTTTATGCACTGCACTGCATTCATATTGAAGATTATTGTACTGTTCACACTCTTATGATTCTTCATTCTCTCTGTGTGTAGGGATGGGGTGTCAGATATCAGTTATGAGCTGGTTCAAGGTTGTTCTCTTGATGAAGGAGAGCCAGTGGTACGCCTCTTGCCGTCTGGGGACATCTTTACTGCTGGGTTTAACGGACATGCTGTTGTCATGGTGACAGCTCACGAGACTGGTATTAGGTTGAATCAGAGTATCATTGTTCATGTGGAGGTAAGAAAGAGAGAGAGGGGGAGGGAGGGAAGGAAGGAGGGGTAGGTAACAGAGGTTATTGTCAGGAAACATTAATTTTTGTGAATGAAGATATTTAGAATAATGGAAATTGTACTAAAAAATAACCAGTAAACAATAAAAATTGATAAATTTGCTGTATCTATGTATATTAGAGACTTTAGAGTGAATGATTGTTACTATATCATCTTACACTATAGGTTCGTCCTCTTCATAGTTTATCTCTAATGTCCCTCTCTCCTGCTAAAGCTGTCCTTCACTCCAAGAAGCACTCCTTCCCTCTTGGCTATTCCTCTCGTTTTGTTGCTCGTTTGCACGACGCTGTGGGCCGGGCTTTTGACTACGCTAACATTGATCTCTCGTATCGCCTCAATCGTCTTGATATTGTTCACGTTACTCGTGGAGTAGGCAATGATACTTATATTATAAAGGCAGCAAGACAAGGGAATGCTATACTCAAGGTATTGTGTGTATGGTATATTGTGTATTGATTGAACATGTTACACTGTAGGTGTGGGTGAAAGGCAGTCCTCATATTTCAGATTATATTAGAGTGACTGTTAGTTATGCCATTATACCATCACTGGCCACTGTTCACTTGGGAGCTAAGATATGCTTTACCACACACCTAACTGAAGGTAAATGACACCCTCCTCCTCATTTATTGCTTGTTATAACCTTCACCAACTTACATAAATTTAAAGGTACAGCTGTAGCTTCCAACCACCTCTTACTTTTTAAGCAGAGCCTTTAACTTTGCTATAATAATAATATATTAATGCACTGTCTTCTATGTATATCTACTGTGTGTTATTATCTGTGCTGTGACTATTATTCTCTGATTGTATTACATGTACAGATCATCCTGATAGTAGTTGGGAGGCAGGTGGTAAAGGAGTCATACAGTTCAAGGACGGCACTAGTGTAGCTAGAGCTGTTGGTACTGGTAGAGCTGTAGTCTATCATAAAGTGGAGGGAATGGTGGATACTCATACTGAAGTGAGCAGAATAGAATAGGAAGGAAGGGAGTATAAAAATATAATTGTGGTTTAATTGTGTTTTAAAGTTTTGATTGTGTTTTTGTGTTACAATTTCTTTATTATTTTATCTCAACAGATATCTGTTGCTACTGTTAAACGTGTGTACATCAATGTTTCTTCTTCTCTACCAGTCTTCACTAATGCTCATCGGCTGGAAAACCTAGGGCATTACCTGGTACCTGTTGAGTTCAAGGATGAACATAATGACTCTGATTTTACACTATTACAAGCTAGCACTGACAAGAACTGTCTTAGTGAGAATCAGCAAGTGAAGGATTGTGTGGCTAACGAGAGAGGCAGTCCTGGTCTATTGTACCTACAACAAGTATCTTTTGATTGTATTCTTGAGCTACGAAACGAAGGGAACCTCCTACCCACGTCCAATTACATCATAGCCCGCTCTTATTTTGATCCCCTCACAGGTTCCAGTGCCTGTCAGTTGCTTGAGGCACCAGGTGATGCTGAGAGTTCTAAATCCCTCTCTCTCATGTCTGGCCTCTCCCTTAGTCTGAGGGTGAAGGCTAGAGACTTTGATTCTTCGTATGAGGTTTGGTCTGAGAGTGTTTCGGTACCGTTCCAACCTTCCTTCTCTCTTGACGTTACTAACGTCACTCTCACTTCTCTACAACACTCTCTCCCTCTCTCTATATCAGGGACACCACAAGTACTCCAGTCTATACAAGTATGTACATAATATTGGATAGTATTAAGTTACATGTACATGACATGTAGAGTGTGCAAGGTTTGTTATTCTACAGATACTTTTATGGTTTATTTTACTACAGCATTCCTTCACTTTATTGTTTATTAGTTAGTAATGGACTCCATATGTACTATATATACTATTGTAATTGAATTACTGCACTTATGTTGTATAATGAAATTGTAAGGTTATCAATTTGTTATAGAGCAGCCACATATAGCACAATACTACATGTACATGCACAGTGATGTGTACAGTAACTATGCATGTGTACAATACATTGTATCTCCCTATTATCATAATGATGATGTCTTCATTATTAGGTATCCTGCCCTCATCCTTTTGTCCTAACTAGACAGTCACTAACAAGTACAACACTAGTCTACACTGTATCACTAGCTGATACTTATAATCCACCAGTCACTAATGTATCTGATGTCGTCATACAATTGACAAGTACCTTAACACATCAGAGAACTTTATTGGCTTTGTTTTATGTTATATTGTCAGACATACCAGAGGCTGTTTCATGTCTCGTTCAAAACCAGAGCAATGCTACCCAACTGGACATGATACAGGACTTATACAAGAGGTGGAATCTGGTCTTTGTTGTTGTTGCAACCGTCGTCATGTTTCTGGTGACCATTGTCGTCTGTATTGCCATTCGCCAGTCGTCCTCGTCTCGTTTGCCAACCGGTTTTGCTGCTCACCTCCCTCCACCTGTCTCCTCTCCTCAGCCGTCCTCCCCTGCTTTTAATTCGCCACAAACCACACCCACTACCAAACCCAATCAGTTCAGTACCCCCCTGTGGAGTCAGTCCGGGGCTGGGGCCGGGGGTCAGTCCTCGGCTTTTAAACGGACAGGGGGGACTAGGTATCCTCAGCACTCGCCAAACAGAGCATCACCTCAATACAGCATGTTCTCGCAGTGAGTCTACCAATGAGATTTAATGTATGCCTCTCTCTCTCTTCCGACATTCTCTCTCTAAGTGATTCCTTCATCCTTTAATTGTAACTTTTATTGAACTCATCTCTCTCTCTTTCCCTCTAGTACGATAAATTATTCTGTTATTATTATTATTATTATGTTTATACTTTATAGTCATTTTTGATTTAGAAATTCATTCAGAAAATAATAATTAATGTATTAAAATTAAAAATTAATAGTGTATAAAATTTATCGATTATATATACATGTCAATTAATCCGAGTCTGAGGAACTACTACTGCTAGAGCTGCTGCTGCTGCTACTGGATGAAGAGGAGGAGTGTCTCTTGTGTTTCTTTTGCTTCTTATGTTTCTTTAATCCTTTGACCTAAAGCAAAATAAGAATAATTTGTATAATGAAACAAAATGAACAAACTTTCTCCTTGTCTTGTTTCTTTTTCTTCTTTTTTGATTTCTTGCTTTTGTCCTTATGCGAGTGCTTGGCATGACTAGGAGGATGAGTATGATCATGCGTCAGACTTGAAGAGGACTCTGAAGGGTGATACGAGACTGATGAGGAGACAGAGGAGTATCTAGTCTCTTCGTAGGATGAGACTGTTACAGAGTATCCTTGATCATACTGAGGAGGTGATGTGTACCCGGCAGGTTGGCTACTATCCACTGGTAATGGTGGATATACAGGATTATATGGTGGAGGAGGGTATGCAAGATTATCAGGTGGTGGTGGATAGGGGTGAGGGGGATAAGGGGGACCTCCCTCTGGTGGTGGATATGCCATTTTATTTTTTAGGGTGTCTGTTTTGATTGACCACGCCTACTTAATTAATTTCTAATCTATATTTTTTTTCTTATTCTCTGTACTTTTGGTTTCTTTTGATCCTAAAGTCTCGCCTTCTTTGTTCCTACCAAACTTGTCTCCTCCTTTATTGTCCTTTACTTGTAAACAAGACAAGTACAGTGTCCCTTTGCGTTGAATTATTACAGACGTAGTTACGTCATTATGACATACCCTCTATGATTAATCGTTCATAAACCTTGGACTCCCAGTCTCCCACCTCCACTCTTTGAAGTCGAGCCAGATACTGGTTTTATCCACAGACTGGATTCTCCTCTATCATCTGTTCGACCCCTTCCCCTTACAAACACTCCGTCCTCTCCCATTCTTCATAAGGAAGACCCCACGGCCCACTCTTCTCGTACATCTCGTTCCATCAACCCTCCATCAACCGCACTCAGCATGCCTAGCTCCAGCAATTCCCCGCACAAATCTACCGTAGAGTCACGGCCTCAGTCCACGTACTTTGAGGCCAACAAGACCTTCAAGGAGAGAAGAACATTCGGTGAGTTTGTCCGTCCTACAATTCCCCCATTGCATGTTGGAATGTCATGCATGCATGGTTGCTGCTCATGACTGAATGCTCCATTATTTCCATCTTATCTATGCTTCCACTATGTTTCCTTCATTAAAAGGTTCCTCAGGCTGTATGACTGCTGATACGTAGTTACTATAAAGTCTGGGATTCCTTAAAACATTTGCACAAGCCATCGTTCCAATATTAGTATCCAGCCTGCTAAAAATAATTTTGAAAAACTACAGCCTCTTCACTAGTTATGTTTTATATCGAAAGTATTGCCATGTGTTGCCCGAGACAGCATGCCTTCAGGCCCGTAGCCAGGGGGGGTTCGGGGGGTTCGGACGAACCCCCTTTTGTAGCTGCAAAAAAGTTTTAGATTAGCTCCTGTCATGAAGAACAGCACTGCAAAAGCAGGATTAGCATTTGGCAACAGCGAGAAGCACAGATAGCCATTTTAGCTGAGTCAGCACATGGCTGAGATGCGTAAATCAAGACCACGCCTACCAACCACGCCCATTTTTGTCAAAATTTTCGCTGCGCGCTTCGCGCGCAGCAATTTCCGAACCCCCTGTTTTAAGTTTCTGGCTACGGCCCTGGCCTTTAGAATATGTCTGGATTGTTGTTGTTCCTTATGCTGTAAATTACATTCCAAGGTCTTCCTTGTGTTTAGATCTGTCTCCCATACACACATTACACAATGTACTGATCATTGCACAATGTACTGATCATTGCACAATGTACTGATCATTACATGTTGTGTAACATAATCAACTTAGTACTGAATACTACACACTTGCATAGGCTCACTCCCTTTGGTTTCAGCTACCTCTGATAGGTTTCTCTGCAGTTTTGATCTCATTTTCATAATTATTTTTATCTATTTCATATTCTGAGCTCATTCTCTCTGTCAAAACAGAATTCGATAGTATTCACACACACCTGCATGCTTATGATGTACGTGTGATTCTCTCTGTGTGTTTGAGAACATACAGTGTATAATACACGCTCTGGTATTATGCTAATAGTGCTACCTCATTATTCTATAGGAGACCATAGAGGTAGTGGGATAAGGCCCTTTTCATGTCTCATTAGTAGCTCTTGTGTCAATGCTAAGTAACATTGCTCTGGAATGACAAGCTATCCAGTCTATACTGAACCTTTGTCATCCTAATATACTTAATGTAACGTACAATAGTGTCCCAGTAATAAAATGATAATAAGTATAATTGTAATGTCTTTGCTCTTTGTATCTATGTGGTAGCATTTCACCATTATTATGGCAATCTCTTGAATTTCCATTGTTGCACCACATTTGGTGGTAAGTAATTGTAGGTGTGCATGGTTAACCCACAATTTAAACACCTGCTTAGCACGATGGCTCTAGCTTAAGGTGAAATGGTTCATGGTTGTTGTCTTGGAGATAAGACTCTATTAATATTTAAGAAATTTAAGATCAATAGGCCTACCTTGTACTGATGTGTGGGGATTAAAATCCATTTTTCAATGTTGTCAGAGTTGGTTTATTTAATCAGACTGGGTATCAAAACTGTTTTTTAGTCTTCTCCTCTCCTTTGCTATGATCTTTGTCCTTTCCTCTTATGCTTTCCTCTTATGCTACACTGATTCACATTATGCACACACCACACACGCACACACACACACACACACACAATGTATAGAACAATAGGGTCTCATATATTCCTTACACAACAACTCAACAACAACTCACTACACTAACTGACATCTCTTTGTTGTATTGAGTTTAAAAAGACAACTTTATGTATCATTCATTGTATAATAACATCATTTCACATTGTACTGATTGTGAAGGGGGCAGCCTTTCCTTCTCTAACCCCCTGGCTGTGCATGTGTTTGCAGTAGCCAATTTATAATGATTTTTTTGCATCGCTTTTAGTTACAACGATAGGGTGGGGAACAGTATGGCATTTTGATTGTAATGTTTGTTCTTGTGTTATGTATATTGAGTGGCTTGTCGTGTACTTTAATAAACAAACAATTCAAAATTATTTCTCTCTCTCTCTTGTCTCGTTATGTTTATCGCAGAGGATAGAAGGAAAGATGTTGATGAGATAGTCAGAAAGCATCCCCAGAAGATCCCGGTAAGTGAGAATAGCCTCATCAACCAGTCAAGTGTTCATTATTGATGCATTAGCATTCGCTTTGTGTAAAATAACCCGATATGGTTTTTGGGCTCTTTTGCATGTTCTGTGCATGTGTTGATAATGTTATTGAGTCTCTCTCTGTCTCTCTCTCTCCTCTCCTTTTTTTACTTCTCTCTCTAGTTGGTAATAGAGAGAGCAAGAACAGAGAAGCATCTCCCACCACTTGACAAAACAAAGTTCCTAGTACCAGAAGAACTAACAATGAGTCAACTGACAGCAATTATTAGGTAAAGCTCCACACAATACAAAATAGATTCATGACAATCAATATCCTGTGTTATAACAATGGCATTGGCCTTGCTGTTAGTCATGTGCCCGTCAGCAAGTGGCTTCATTACTCATTACAATGACACTCTAATTATGGGTGTATGCCTACTACAATCAGCATCCAGCACTGCATTTGTACAATTAGTAGTACAATGCCAGATGTCACAGCATTATTTATTGTTATTGTTATTTAATTGATTATAGGAAGAGGATGCAGTTGAGTGAGACGCAAGCATTCTACTTGATAGTGAACCGCAAGGCAATGGTCAGTACTTCAATGACACTAATGGAAGTGTACAGATCACAGAAGGATGACGACGGATTCTTATACATGACTTATGCTTCACAGGAGGTCTTTGGTTGATGGACACTATATGCACGTTCTCTTTTTCATTAGCTTATGTTCAAATTACAATCCTCACTCACTCCCCCTCTCACTTTGTCACTCCTTGTTCTGCACTACATGTATGTATTATATGAAATGGACCTACTTTTGAAAAATTATTGTGTTTGTTTGTTTGTGTGTATTTGTTACAAATTAAAACTTGCCCATTTTGATTCATTATCCTAGTATGTCTATAGCTGCACGTCACAACACATTGCTACTGTATTGTTGCATGATGGATGGCTCTAAGCCTTTTGGAGCTTAATGTTGACATTTTTACATTGAATTTAATTGTTAATAAAACAAGGCCAAAACTAACTATCATCAAAGCTACTTTTACTGTTCCATAATATCCAACATCACTTACTGCGGCAGTAGTAAAACTCGTAGGTCTCAGCGTTATCGACAGCTCTATCCGGATGAGATTTAGCCAGGTTCTTCACGTTAGTCTTTCCATATGCATAGTCTTCTGTGAGTCCAAAAGCATGAGTCCATTCATGTACCAGCGTACCTTCTTTACTGGTACCACTAGTGCGACAGGCTACTGGATCACGGAAATAAATGTTGCAGAGAAAAACGGTACGAGAGTTGTGATAAGTGTAAGCATACCAGTTTGACTTGCAGTTACTTGGCTTGATGTTGTAGGTGACCGTGTTTTGTGAGATACCATCTCTGCATTTCTGATAGACACCTTTAACTTTGTTAGCACGTGAAGCAGTATGCGCACCAAACCATGTAGTGTAGTTTTTATCATTGCGGACTTTAGCCTTCACTTTATCAAAACCAGCACAGAGCTTCTTATGAGCTGCTGTTGTATCAGATCTCTCCTTCTTAGTACCTCCAATGTACACAGCAAGAGTGCATGACTCAATGTGAACAATATTACCCTCTTCCTGGCCCACTGGCTCTCTAACAGGACTGGAGAAGAGATGAACATTCTCAAGATAGATAGAGACAGATTCACTAACTTCCACCTCACTGCCCTTCATTCCCAAGCCCATTTCATCCTTTGAAAGAACCTGTAGTGGTTTATTGTACTTTATATCATAAAGACCATCAGAGTGAAGACTGAATATGTCATTGATTCTAACACTAGCTGCAACCCTTTGCCCTGGTTTAAGGAGGATGTACTCGTCTTTTGATGGAGGAGTACGATAAACATAGCGACCTTCATACTGCAAAGGAGCCTCATTAAGAGATACCTGGACAAAAGGAGAGTTGAGCCCTTCAAGTGGAGTGTTACGCTGGAGGAGGTAATACTCATCATCATCTGCATTGAGGAAACCAAAGGAACAACCAAGAAATGAGACAGATTGATGACAGTCCATATCAACAGAAATAGGCCAAGCACTATATGAAAATTGATAATAATATGTAATTATGTGTGAAGAATAGCTTCATTACAAACCCCATTGCATTGGCTATGCATGCAGTCAAGAACACAATAGAGATGACTGTCTTCATGACTCTATAGTTCTGTTAGTGAGTATTGGTTCAGTGTTCAATTCATTTTATAACAAGACCTGAGATACACTGGAATCAGAGGATTGGGTGCAACTCTACTCATACCTGGATCTCACCTGTAACATGTAGTAACTAAGAAATGAAGCAAGCTTATATGTACAGTATTGAATTAGTATTATTCACTGTAGCTACCATATATATATATATGTATTATAGAGACCTCATTTACATTTGGCCTATTAACACTGACCTTGAGGTGTAGATTTAATCTACACCTCAAGGCGTTAATACTCAATTAACTGGACAAATTTCACTAATAAACAAGATTTTGACATAGTGCTCAGTAAAGGATATTTTGTCAAAAATAATTTGCCATTCTAATGTTTTTTTTTGATATGTAGTATATGTTATAATGATAACAATGATAATTATAATGATGATTGATCATTATAACTTATAAGTGTCATCATCAGTATATCATTATGTAGTCTATAAATAGCACTTTACAAATAACATTTACTTTAATTACATAATTTGTATGTTTTATGACATGATTACTCAGCATTTCAACTCTTAGCAAAAACAACAAGAAAGCAGTTGTTCTGCAGAGTTTGGCATTGAAAGTATTGAATGCTAAATTTGTTAACATACAACATGGGGACACTACCTGGGAAATACCTCTAGCTCAACTAGATTATATAAGGATTCAATCCCTCTGGTGACAGTGGTGTGCATTTTAAAGCAGCAATGTATGATCCTGATTGTGTTGCCACATTTGAGGAAGTTCATTTTGCTGAAGGACGTTTCCGAAAAGCCTACAAGGGTCATTGGACTACTCCAGAAAAGAATGGGCAAAAATGCGTCATAAAAAGAATGAAATCAGGCTGTGTTTGGGCAGCTAGTGGTTGGGACAGCACACTAAAGGTTTATAACAGAGCTGGTAAGATAGCAAAGCAATTCAACCAAAGCCACTATCCCATCTGCTTTACCAGCATCGGTAAGTATGTGGTAGAGAATTCATATCCAACAGAATATGTTGTTGCTGAAGATTATTTGGAAGGTGAATTTATTAAATGGTGCAATAACTATGGCTATATATCACCTAAAGCTAAATCTGAGCACATCACAATGCCAGCATTTGTTCACTGGAGTTGGCTGCATACAAGAGGACAAGAAATGGTGTGTGATCTACAGGGAACTCGTGATAGAAGTGGCTATCATTTGACTGATCCAGTGATCCTTTCGCTTGATAATACATATGGTGAGACAGACATGGGAATAGAGGGCATGGCCATGTTTTTCATGAACCATGAATGCAATGATATCTGTAAAGGATGGAGGAGGCCTCGCTGGGAGTCTTTTATAGGAAAGATTCCAAGAGAAACATTGGCAGCATGTCAACTTATGCAGAGCGAAGTCAATAACGCCACATCGTACAGGTTTGAGATGAAATTCCCTCCTGCCACTAAAGATATCGTTAAAAGAGTGTTCCTTCAAATTGCTCAAGCTCAATGAGATTTGAAGTAACTGTTATTATTCATTAAGTAAACTATTTTATATCAATAAACTTAATTTTTGCGTGATTTTGGTATTAAAAACAATTAGTTTAATTCTTGTGCAAATTCAAAACATTATTATTATTATTATTATAGTGACTATACTGGTGTGTGTGTGTGTGTCAATAAGCTAAAAGTTATTTTTTATAATAATATTATGGATTATTTTATGAAGTTTAAAATTTTGCACAAAATTTACTACTACTCATTTTGCTCTCCTGCCCTGTTCAATACTACACTGCTCTTACCATTTTATCAAAAATGGCTTTGAGAGAATGCATCATTTTTTATGCAATAAAAATTGAATTTCGTGGCAACCCCTACTGATAAAATAATTAAAGTTTCATGTGAACTAAGAGATTGAAAGATATCAATAAATTATTTCTAACTAATATTACACAAAAATAATAGTCAAAGACAAAGTGTAGCAAAAAAATGTATAACAGTCAATCCCAAAGAATATCTAATGAATCTCAAAGTGTTGGACTATGTCACTGATGTCTACTTCCGTCTTCTCCTCTGATATGATCTACACAAAGATAGAGAGAGAGAGAGAGGAGAGGGAGAGAAAGAAGAGAAATAAAATACCAATCTAAGTCTATGGCATCCATTACTTGTCTAGCTACATCCATTTTTCCAAATATATTCCAGGTGAGGACACCAACTATTCTTCCTCCTTCCTTATCAAGGTAATATATGACTCCTTTTGAATAGTCATCCACAGGAGTGTCAACAGCCTATCATTAACAGCAAGAGGTATTATAGCAGTATAATAAACTATAATCATTGCACACTAAAGTTGCATGTATTGTCACTAATTCATTCAATTCTACCTCTGATGATTTCCTCCCCCACACTCCAACAGTTGGTAGCTTGGAGTCAATGAGACCAGTTGCCTCAAATCCAACATCAGGCCCAATGTCACTCCTAATTTATAATATAATGTAAATACAAATACAATGCATATCTAATGGGCTACATTCTGCTGATAATAGTAGGTGAAATATATCCAAGTTATAGCTTTACAATTTTTCAAAATTGCTTCAAAATTTTGGAGTTTGCCAATTTAAATAAATTATGTACATACTAGTCAGGTTTCCCAAAGGACTTTGGCAGAGTACTTAAGATGATATATATAAATCTGGTCAAAGTTCGTGTACTATAGTACAGGGCTTTGGGCCAAATTTCGCCAAAATTGACAAGGAGAGAATTCTTCATTTTTATATTTTTCCCAATACATATACATGTACTTAAGTTGCATAGAAAGTTTGAGCTGATTCTGATCAAAATTGGATTTTTTAATGATTTTTAAAAAGTTGCTTCTCATTGAAGCAAGCTTTATAAGAAACCCTTCCTGATACCAGTAATAGTAGTATAGCTATACTTACCAGAACATTGACTGGTGCATGAACGGCTGATGCTCTCCTGTCATATTATAACCAGCCAAACGACCACTGACATTAGCATGGTCATGATGCTCCACCCTCCTACGTCCCAAATAAGGATCATAGAAACTAGCAACATCTCCAGCCTAAAGAAATAAATACATTAATTATCACATACAAGTAGGATTTGTTGATATGCAGTACGTCATTCTATTGGTCTGTGTTTTAGTATACGTATATTTTCCTGCATGTTCTGCTTTTTAAAACACCATCAATTATTAATGGCTCAGTAATGTGCATACAGTATAGCTCCAAATTTCCGTTGTTCAAAAATTTGTCAAATTCGTCACGTATTTTTGTTTCACAAAATTTTTAACTGACAGAATTTTTGTTCCATGTAGGTACACATAGTATGCAAATTAATAACAAAAATGACAAAATTTATTGACAAAAATAATTTTAACAAGAAATTAAGATTTTGACAAAATTTTGATTGATTAAAATTTGAAGTTATATGATACATTGTGCATGCACTGAATTGTTAATTTTGACTTACTGCCCAGACATCAGTGCAGGCTAGGAGTTCACTGTTCACTTTGAATCCACCGTGCTCCTTATCAATCTCAAGACGAGCTGATGTAGCTAGATCAGTGTTTGGTTGGAGGCCAACAGCAACCACAACATGATCAGCCACTAACTAAAGAAAGAGAGAGAGAGAGAGAGAAAGAGGAATGTATTTAATAAGAATGATGACCACACACACACACACACACACACACACACACACACACACACACACACACACACTGAATTGCTTATATTATGTGTGCAAAATGATTCCCTAGCTGATATTTTGTTGCTGTAGCATGAAATGTATTTCAATTCCAATATTGGGTTACATGTACCCATCACTCATGACTGCAACTATTGGTAGTGCATTACATGTTCCTCACTTCAGTTCCATTATCAGTGACAACAGTGACCTTCTTGCCATCTTCACTGACACTAGCTGATTTGATACCAGTACCAGGATGAACCTGGACCCCAACTGAATCAAGTGAAAGAGAGAGAGAGATGAAAAATAAATATAAACAGGTTAATGGAATGGGTAGTAGTAAGCAGCTAACCTTCTCTGACTTTATCTGTTGTCCATTTGCTGACATCTTGAGGTAGCACAAGGCCAAGGTTCCCAACCTCAGGGAAGACTTGGCTGATAGTAACTCCTTTATCTTTACCTACAGTACCAGCAATAGTGTAACTGTGTACTTTATCATGAGGCTCTACCTCTGCTAGCCAGTCCTACTGCTAGTTCAGACCCAAGGAAGCCTCCTCCAACTATCAGTATTGATTTAGCTGAGTCCAACAGCTTATCAAGTGCTTTATAGTCTGGTATCTGTGAATTAATAAAATACAGTGAATTAAAAATATGCATTAAAAGTACTGCTACAATAATAATTATGATCGGAATCTGTTACAACTTTCTACACAACGTAAGTACATCTATATTTTTTCCATTGTCACAAACTCACAAAATTTGTGACAAGCAAAACCCCATTCGTTTCATCGTCATAAAATTCATGGCAAGCAAAAAACTCATTTGTTCTATTGTTGCAAAATCTATGACAAGAAAAACCCATTTGTTCCATTGTCTCATGAAATCTGTGACAAGCAAAAACCCATTGTCACAAAATCTGTGACAAGCAAAACCCATGTCACAGGACTTTGGCATCATTCTTTGAGCAACTTCAAAAAATTCATAAAAAATAAAACTTTAATCAAAATCTGTTCAAACTTTCTATACAGCATAAGTACATGTATATGTATCAGAAAAAATTATAAAAATGGAAAATTCTCTCTTTTTCATTTTTGGCGAAATTTGACCAAGAACCCTGTACTATAGTACAGGGACTTTGGCCTGATTTTGGAGCAACTTTAAAAATTCATGAAAAATCCAATTGTGATCGGAATCAGCTCAAAGTTGATACACAACATAAGGACATGTATATGTATCAGAAAAAAAATATAAAAACGGAGAATTCTCTCCTAGTCATTTTTAGTGAAATTTGGCCAAAGACTACTTGGAGCAACTACAATGTATGAAAATTCATTAAAAAATATAAATTTGATTGAAATCAGCTCAAACTCCATAAACAACATAAGTACGTGTACATTGCACATGCATCAAAAAAATTATAAAAATGAAAAATTCTTCCCTAGTTATTTTAAACAAAACTTAGTCTTTGTTCAATAGTTGGAGCAACTTTAAAAATTTGTAAAAAATCTAATTCTAATCAAAATCAGTTCAAACTTGATACACAACATAAGATCAAGTAAAAATTGAGATTTTTTTCTTCAAGCAATTTCATAACATACCCTGGTCCTTGACCCAATTTTGGAATAACTATAAAATCATACTTTGATCAGAATCACCACAAAGCAACAAACTGCATACTGTTGAGTGAATGTGCTGATACTTACGGCTCTGAATGTTGAGAAAGGTCCCTTCCCTTGAAAGACAGGAAGTGTCTTAGGTGTACCGCCAGTTGCTAAGAGACATTTGTTGAATGAAACTTCAGATCCATTGTCCAAACGTATCTTCTTCTTTCTTGTATCAAGAGATGTAACCTTGATTAGTATAAACTTCATCACTCACTCCACTCTATTCTTAGACTTATTTACCATGACTTTAATTTTGGTGGATTAGAAATTAAATCACAAATATAACTACATGGCATGCCACATTCAATAATACATGATGACACAGTTGTATTGCTTAAAAATAAATTACATTACAGACAATTTTCTAAAGCATAAATATGCAGATATATAGGGTATGCAGTACATGTAGAGAGTGCATTAGGCTTGAGGTCATGTTTGTAGAGTATGGTAATATTGGTCAGACTGTACCTTCCTTCCAGTGACCACTGCTATGCCACCACCTTCCAAATTAGGAAGATCCTTAGGAGAACAGAAGTCAGCTTTATAGAAAACACTAAATACACATAAAGCACACAGAAAAGATAAAAAGTATAACAGTATTGATATAATTGTGTATGATGGACTATAGCTTATATATTTTTGAAGCCATAAACATAGGAAAAGTTGTTGTGCCCAAACGAAAATAATTAAATTAAAATCCCTCAAAATACAATGTACATGCACTGCATTACTTACTCTACAACTTTCCCTCCGCTCCAAGATGCTGTGAATTTCAAGTTCTTTGCTGCTTCGTGATCCTCATAGAGCCAGAGCTGCTTTGACAATGGAGGACGACTGTATGGGGTATAGTCCTCATTACCTGGAGACATAGGGGGAGAGAGGAGGGAAAGAAGAGAGATAGAAAGAGAGAATCAAAATAATGTTTTATCTATAAGAATAGTGTCTAACCAATTATGAGTACTTTGGCCGTTGGATCTTTTTCTCTAATAGCCTTAGCAGCAGCAAATGATGTAGTGCCAGCACCAATCAGGACATAAGGAGCAAAATCTGTGAATTAATAACATCCATTGAGACACAAACCAATAGATAAAGATAGTATACATTGTATGGATGTATGTTTGTAGTGTACAAATATTTCACAAAAATTTGACTAAATAAAATAACACAATTAGTCGTAATGTGAAAATATTCATATTAACAAGCATGCATACGTACTCACAAAACACAATAATAATAACAACAACAACAATAATAATAATAACAACAACAACAATAATAATAATAACAACACTAATAATAATAATAACAACACTAATAATAGTAGTAGTATAGTAGTACATGTAGTAGTAACAGCAAGAGTAAATATTCAGTGGTGGTGATTCATACCTGGTATATCAGCAGGAGGAGGAGGAGCAGGAGAAGAAGCAGGAGCAGGAGGAGTTGAAGTTTCCTGTGCACTTTCTAAATTCTTTTCAGCTTCAGCTAAACATTGAGTAAATAAAATGATAACAATACAATAGCAATACATTGTTCCCATTGAGAGCACATGTATATAATGTTGCATAACATAACAGTACACCTGTATGAGTAACTAATTACATAACAACATACAAGTACATGTAGTATTGCATACATTGCATTGACTGATTTGCATTCACATACAGTAATAAACAGTCAAAAACAGCAGCAGCATTATATCAATGATATAAAACAATTGTATATGTGCATGTACAGTATCTGTTGGCAATTATTAGTGGAATTTTTGGCCATAGAATTTATATAGTAAAATGGAAATGCGACAACAAAATTAATACTTAGCATAATAATAATAGTAATAACAATAACATAAACAATTACAATACAATAATAAATAATTATAATACCCTCAGGATGAGTAGCCCCTTCCTTCTGATACTCAGTGGCTTTGGTATACTGCATACCACTGGAGCCTACATAAGGAGAGGGTTTTGAATTCTGATAAAACTACAAGAGGAAAGAGAAGAGCATTTGAAGTCATACTAAACAAGAGGTACACGTGAGATCTGGCTGCTCTAGCTTACACCGTATGCACCGACTCCAGCAACAGTCACCCCAGCTAACGTTATGAGAGTATTAGTAGAGAAAAAAGAGGAGGAGGTACTGCTGCTGCTACTGGCATAGGCTTTGTAGATAGAAGGACCCGCTCGAGCTCCCCATAATACTCGAGAAGAACGAGCGACCCTCAGGAAAGCGGCAGCCATGTTTGATTGGTGGGCGTGACACAATATGAAGTGACCACACCCACAAAATATTTTTATAATTTTTTTTCTGATAATAATAGTAAAAATCTCAAGAACAAAATAACATAATCATTAATAATAACAATAATAATATTATGGAACAAATTTCTACACAATAATCAATAAATTAGCTGGTGGATGAAATAAAAAAAGAAAATAATAATATTAATAATAATAATACATGTGCTTTCTCAATATAGCAATAAATTATGTAGCAAATCTTGCTATAGCCAAAAATTAAGTGATATAATATAATACATCTTATAAGCAGACAGTCAATCAGCTCTAAATCTCTTTCTATTGGTAATGCATGCAGGTGCACGTATGTGTGTGGGTGCTATTTCACTTCAAGTAGTTCTGGGTGTGAGTCTAATATTGCGACCAGTAGTCCTTCAATGTAGGACTGTAATCGTGCAGTCTTTTCCTCATACTCAGTGAGTGCTTTCATTACCTATACAAGCATTAACACTTAACAATAATATAAGCAAGCAAATTTTATTGTCAGTATAGTAACTGAACAGCCTCTTCCTACCCCCTTGCAGGTCTTGTATTAGGTGCTAAATGAGCTAATTAATTCACACCTACATGTACATGTACATGTACATTTACATTCACATGTACACTGTACTCCATTAGCCCCCAATGGCTAGTAAAGGTAATACTGTACAACCCAGTGGCTGGTGCTTACATCAGCTCTTGGAGCATCCTGCAGTTCTGCTGCTAGTGATGGAGCAGGACCACCTAACAATTCCTTCCCTTGTTTGACTAGTTGACTCTTTAATCTTGTGTTCTCCTCTTTGAGAGATTGAACCTCCTAAAAAAATAAAAGAAAAAAAAACATATGTAAAGACACAAAAAGCAATTGTGGTGGTTTAAAGTAGAAGCACTACTTCAAAATTATGTTGTCAATAGATGTTACATAACATCAAGTAGGCACTATACTCTATTACCTTCTTAAGAGAGATTGCTTCGGCTAATTTGTAGTCAGTGACATTAATGTTGTTCCTCTTCTTAGTGAACTTATTCTCCTCAAGCTCTTTCCTCAAATGTTGTATGACATGATTCATAGCCTCGACCTCCTACAGAATAACATGCATGTACTTATATTGTTAATAGAGCAACAATATAATACATGTTAGAGCAAAATAATTGTTCAATATAATACATGTACATTGATACATTGATACATGCATGTTGATACTACTGTCCTTTCATAGCAACTTTTATTTTCTTCTCTCCTTACCTGTTGAAGTCCTTGTTTATCTTGTTCCAATTCATTCCTAACTAATCTTAATTGCTCTTTCGCTTTCAACAGCTCCTCCTCCAATTCAGTCACCTTGTTTTGTAGCTGTATTACATGCTTGCCTTTCTCTTCACACTCCTATAAAAAGAGAGAGAGGGGGAGGGAGAGAGGGAGAGAGAGGGGGAGAGAGAGAGAGAAGAAAAAAGAAAAGAAAGAGATAAAGAACATAATTAAAAGAGCACATAATTCCTTGGCTATACAATTATACATGCAGTTTTTTGGACAGCATAAATTACCATTTCTCTCTCATCTATTTGCTTTCTGAGGTTGTCTGCTTGTCCTTCAGTTGTTGACTGTTTCTCTTTCTCTTCAACTAATCTAAATAAACAAAACACTCAAAATCACAAACCGTGACATAAACACAAAACCAGAGACATACATGTACATTTTATTGTATAGCCAATGTCTCTCCATCCTTATACATGTAACTTACTGATATTCCAATTCTTGATATTTTGATTTGTATTCTTTCTTCATTTTGTCAATGGTGGCACTGCTCCTGCTCCTCACTAATCCAATGGCTACTTCACTCTTTGTCTGTACATCCTTCAAAGTGTCTTCAAACATGTCCAACCTAAACATAGCAATATTTGAATGTTGATGGCAAGCTGAGCTGCCCTATGTATACATGCATGTAGCTACAAGTAGAAGGAAATGAGTTTTTCTATGTACTGGTACATGGTTTAGTATACTGGGCCACATGCATGTACTTGGTACCAGGCTGTTCACGATATAGCATTCCCTATACAGAGAAATGGTCCCCACTGATAAATTACCACCTCATGTTTCATTTTTAAACAGCTATTATGCATTAAAATATGGGTCTAATTGGGCTGATTTTAAAGCAGCTTCTAAAATTCATAAATAATCCAATTTGGATTGAAATCAGCTCAAACTTTCTATGTAATTTAAATACGTGTATATGAATAAGAAAAAAATTATAAAAATTGCAAATTCTCTCCTAGTCCAATTTTTGGCAAAATTTGGCCATGACCCTGTACTATAGTACAGGGATTTTTAGCACTACACCATAATCCTTTGGGAAACCCTGACAAGAGGGTGGTTTCTCTAAAGGGAGACTACCGTATCACTGTATGTACATGTACATGTACTATTGTGTTCAACGCATGTCCATAGTACTAGCCTTTCTCTAAGAGTCGTATTCTCTTTCTTTAATCTCATTGTCTCTGTCTGGCTCTGATCAAGCTCAACCTCTAATCCCTCTAGTCTTGAAGAGAGCTCCTGCAACTGATAATAAACTAATGTTATTAATAAGAAGGAAGGAGTGTATACTAGTACATCCTCTCCTCCTAATACATGAAGTATGGCTAGCAATGCAATTAACATTAATCAATAAGTGTACCAATAGGACACACATGTACACAGGAAGCATTCTCTCTAATACATGTATTGTGGATGTTCCTAGGTACTGACTGACCTTTTCAGTGAGTTCATCAGAGTCTTCATCTTGTCTCCATTCAGAGGAGCTGGAGTAGGTGCTGCCAGTCCCTGATACATGAAGGAATGAGTGATTGCTTCTTTTAATGAGAGCTCTGGCCACTAGACTGGGACTATTACTAAAGAGGGAGGGAGAGGAAGAGGAAGAGAGATAAAATAATCCTTTCATGATTTATCTTACTCTGCTGGTTGTATCTCAATCCCATCAATAGATTGATGTCGGCCATTGACTTTACTAGAAATGATAAGAACAACAATAACAGCTCAACAATGAAAGGAAGGAGTCAAAGTATAACAAAGAAACAGCAAACCATACACCTGCACCAGAGCCCCTTTCAATACATCAACACGTGTCACAATTATTTCTATTTTCTAAGAATCATTTATTACATTAGGCCTACCATCAGTATCATAATAATTGAATGAAGGAATGCATTTCAGTTCTGATAAACATCAAAGACTATTAATATACACTTGATACTACCAGTTCACATATCAATAGAATGCAATATAATATTAGCACAACAATACAGTATCACTATCAATATAATGAATGCAGTCAATGTAGCCTAGTTAATAGATACTGTATATCAGTATACACGGTGTGTAGTGTATGTATTCTATTATGGTCTCACGGTTTGTGTTGTTCGTCAGTGGAGAATGTATCATGAGTATCAATGCTGGATGTGGTAATGATACCATTTGGTAGGCTACCATTGACTCCAGTTGGATCCTCAAGGTCCCTTACTCTGACTGACACAGGGCTAATGAGATTAATAAACATAAAATAAACAAACAAAATGGGTAAATAAACAAATAAATGAGTACCGATACCTCTCAGCTGTTACATTCCTATCTACATTTCCAGACATCACCATCTATTATAATTCGCAGTCTCCTTAGCTAACACTTCTCTCTCCCTCCCTCCCTCCCTCTCTCTCTCTTTCATACAAAAATACTTCAAATCATGCATGACATTACATACCTTGAAGAACTGGTGAATCCTAGTGAGTAATAGGAGAGCTGAGGTGAGTCAATGGTAGGACTATTAACATCACCTACAGTAAATGTACTATCCTCAATAGGACTAGTGGTACCAGGGAACTAAGAGATGGAAAAAGAAGAGAGAGAGAGGAAGTTTAAATAGAGAGGATGAGATGTTTGACAAAGGAAATCAAGGCCCCCATTATGGTGATGGCAAATTTAAAGTGTTTTTTTTTTCTTAGAAAAGGGACAAACACTAGTCGGTGATTGCATGCATACACTGCAAAGTGACAAAATAACAGATAGTGTCTGCTAACATAATAAACTATATAATAATAAAACTAACGTTTTCGTCAAAGCTTGTACGGGAAAATGAGTCAGACCTACTTGATGTAACAGAGTCTCTTCTACCTACAAACAAGCAAGAAATGATGACAAGTCACTATGAAAAGAATCAGAAATGTTCAAAGGAAGTAATATCTTCCGTAGAGTAACAGGACACAATGACAGTGACCATACAATAGCTTGTGTTTGCGTGCTGTGAATTGCATGTTGGATGTTGTATGCATGTCAGTACTGGCAAGTGTGCACAACATGTGTAGTTTGTTTTGGTAGCATGAGATTTAATCTCTTTTTTGTGAGTGAGTTCAGTGTGGTCTGTACCTATTAAGTATGCCTCTATTCCTTTGCTAAAGCTCTCAAATGTTATCACACCAGTTCTTTTAGGGTCCAATTCATGAATTAACTGGTCTATCCTCTAAATAGAAAATAAGGAGAAGGAGAAAGTGAAGGGTAAGGGTAAAATGAAAGTATTAGGAAAGGAAGAGTGACCAGGGGAATACATCAGCTCAGGAAATCAAGTTAAGAGTAATGTAGGCTACATGATAATATCTAATAGAGGAAGTCATCAGTAAATAAGTTAAATAATAATCATACTAACACTGTGAATCAACAACAACAACAACAACTACAACCAAAGTAATAAACAATGAAAATATCTTTACTCTTCCACACATTCCACGTTGTATATCAACAAAATGACAACTGGCATTCTAAATTGATAATCTTTTGGCTCACAATCATGTACATGTAGTACAATAAAAGTATTATCATTTGTACTAATGCACGAAGCCAAATATTTTGAATGCTTTATAGCAAAACAGAGCTTGAAATTGGTCATGTATGAAACAAGCAGAAGAAAAGAGACTCTCACACAATATTACTATACAGTGCCATACAGAACATATTAATGGACAAACAGAATACATAAGAGTATAAAGGCATGAGTCACACACAAGTCATAACCATCAACAAAATACACTCAAGTATCATCCACTTCAGGATAGACACAATAAAGGGAGAGAGAGAGAGTAGGTAAGTAAATAGTTAACCTGTGACACGGCTCCAAGATAATGCTGTCCCAATGATCTAAACTCTTCCACAGTTATGAGCCCATCATGATCTTGATCACACAAGTCGAATATCCACTTGAGCTGTTCCAGAGCGGATGAGCCAATAGTTGTCTCTGATTCTCCTTCTACCAGTTGCTGCTGATCTGCATTACTAGTCACTGTGTTATCTACAGTACTGGTGCTTGACATTGCTCTCTCTTTCTATCTTCTTGTGGATCCTTCACACTCTTTGATTTATCTCTTGACTCTTGTAAAATATGGGTGGGGTTGCAGGGCGTGAGATCAACTGGGCGTGGTCAAATATAATTTATTACGTTACTATGGCAGCAATTTTAATTAAAGTTATCAAAAAATTGACAAAATTAAATTAGAATAATTCAAAATGAACAATAATACAAAAATAGAAATAATACAAAGACAGCATTATTTTAATTAACTGGTGTATTTCTTTATCATTCTAAACCCACCATAAGCTAATAGCCCAGCTGCAATAAGTAAGCTGCCTCTAGCCAGCCAGGGATGACGGGTAGAAAATGTAGTAAAAGCATGAATTGGTATAATCATTGGACCAAAAGGAGTTGGTATAGTAATGTCTCCTTCAGGCAGTGGGGGGTCAGAGACTACAGCTTCAGTCGTTTCTTGCTCCACAAACGAAGAATGAGACAATGAAGGGAAGGGACCACTAGGAGGAGTGACACTAGGCTCATGATCATCAGTAAAATCCTCTAATAGTGGGATTATAATAATATACCTTGTTATATGTCTGTATTTACTTACCTCCTTCAATTTTGAATGATACACTTCTCTGAGGAGGAGGAGGAGGAGGAGGAGGAGGAGGAGAACGTGGACTGACACCATCTATAAAACAAATGATACGTAATAGAAAAACCCTCTACCATTTAAGTTGATTAGGTTGCAGGCTTATAGGAAGACTATAGTGCAAATATTAGTGTGACTCGGTGTCAACAATGGTGAAAATTAGTATCATATGAGACCTTGCCCAATGACAAACTTACGGTATTCTGTATACATGGCAATCCCAATGGCCTCTGTCTCACTGAAACTCATAAGTACATCACAGAGCTTGTTAAACATGACTGGCTCCTCAGTATCGGTATCAACTGCAGCGTATACTGCCCTCAGTAATGGGCCCATCCTCTCAAATGCAACAACATTGTTCATGAGCGCTCTGTCCAATGATGCTTTGCCTATCAATCCTTTTCCAAAGAGTTGTTCAGCTATAGGGCCTGGGTTGTCTATTCTTCCTGATATGTCACCGAATTTGCTCCTAAAGATCCTTGAAGATTTTTTCACCATTTTGATTTCTGAAATTGCGTGGGAGGAGCGCAATAATTATTACACAATTTCCTCAAGGAAAAATAACACAAATACTACACACTCATCAGTGATAGTGTATAACTTTAACTTTTTAGCACTGAGAAATATGTATTATTGCTTCTATAATCATTAATTTTGTCATTAAATATTTTCATACAATTACATGTACAGAAACTTATTATTTCCAAACTGATTGCAAAATTAGAGGCTACTGCTTTAATGATGTTCAGTACCTCTTTAGTGATGATAATGGTACCTCTTATTAAAATTTACATCAAATTAGAGAACATCTGCATTGATGTAGGTTAATCTCAGACTTCACAATACAGTCAAACCTGCTGCTAATTTTGTGGCCTGGCACCTCCATAATCAGGATAGGTATATACAATATAAATGTGTATTAATGCTCTGAAAGACACTTATAATCAGGACAGTATTATTGGGTCCTAAGGTGTCTGGAATTGACAGACTTGACTGTAGCTCATTCACAAGCTCAAATTTTATAAGTGTGGCTGTTTAAACGACAAAACATTAATACTTAGAAACACATGTATCATCAATGTTGGTATAATGCTCTTCAAATCTGTCTTGCCCACACGCTTTGAAAAATGATTTTTAGGCTGTTGACACAGTAGTAATGCCCATTATGGGAATCAATATTTTCAAAATAATTATTTTTTAAAAGTACAACTGAGATGAAATAAAATATAATTAATCATTCATGATAAGTTATGAGTTTCTGTCAATTTAATGAGTGATCTACAAATGAAAAATAGACTCTATTAGAAGAACACAAGACTATGCATGCATGGTATACCCATTACCCAAGCAGTCACACTACTTTTATTAATTGCCAAAATAACACTTAAAGCCTTGCAATTTGCATATTACCCGAAATTTCCTTTTAGGTGGTCTCACAGTGACACATAGCCACAAATTACATGCACTGATTGTTCATCAGTAATCAATGACCCTCTTCTAATCAACCTCGGGGAGGAAATGCAAACTACATGCCATCAGTGGCGAGGCAATTATGTAGAAATGACCATTATATAATTCCCAGAAGAGTTAGATCCTATACACCAAGGAAAAGGAAAGCTTTGTTATTAGTTGTCGGCAGTGACTGTAGGTTCAAGCACATATTGAGATTAAACAATCTTACTAGTGTATAGTAATGTTATAATAATAACTTACAATATTCTGCTTCGAGTAAGGCTATGACGTTCTGATCTGTTGAAGGATCGTCTTTTAATACAGCGATAAGTACCGGGAATTTACCAGGATCTCTGCCAACCTGTGACTCGACTGACATGAGTAGTCTTGAGATACTGGCGAGGGCAGATTTGTCATGGCCGAGACCATTGCTCTCTGGTAAAGACTGCTTAATGTCGTCCAGTGATCTCTCTGTTATGATCCCCTGGTCGTGGAGTGAATCTGCAATCCGACCAGCATCAGTGATAACTGCAGCAATGTTGTTCATATGTTTCACCATGATTTTCCTCGCGTGTTGTATGGATATAAAGTCATCTGTGGCCCCTCCGCCATTTAGGTCTACTTCCATGCTCCTCACAGCCTCGTAGGCTCTCCCATTATCGTTGAGGTTCTCCTTCAACACCTGTATGAGGCTAGACATTATGGAAGCGTCCTTTGCTATGGACTGATCGACAGCTGAGAGCATTTTAACAGCGGCTCTCTGCCTCTGCGTCCTTGGACCCTCTTCTTCCCCATCATCAGCTCCGCCAGTCCAAGAGACTCGGAGTTCTGAATACTCATCCTCTGATATGATCCCCTCGCCTTGTAAATCACCCGCGAGCTGAAGAGGGTCACTGATTGCACGACAAAGCGAGTCGAAATATTTCCTTAGAACTCGTATCTCCCTGTTCATATTAGTGACACTGTAGTCTCTCCTTTCCTCTCATACAGGACTATGGTCTATGGTTGTGAAATGGAGGGATAGAACGCGAGTATTTAACTGCTTCCCACAAGATTACGCCCACGCACATTAAAATTCCTACAGAGCACTAAATGTACATAATAAAAATCAAACTACACAAAAAATAAAATCAACTGATATAATAATTTGACAAAACTGTTTACTATAATTAGTATTCTCCAGCCAGAGCTAACAAAACTCTCTTGTAATCTCCACTGGTGTCTCCCTATGGGTAACAGATATAACATTACAAAGGATTTCCACTATTAAAGCATTAACAGTACAATTAACTACAAAGGACTGCTATTTACACTTGAGAATAAAATACGTCTGATTCCTTAAATGACACGAGACGCATTACTGAGTGGCAGTTATTCAATAGATATAAAATTACCAATCAATTGATTTGAATATTAAGAAAATTGTCATACTCATTTATGGGATAAAATACAAGCAAACATAAACAACCATCAATCTGGAGTGTTCACATTTTACTATACAATAAACTAATATCTGTGGTAGGCATATATATACACAATAATTATAGTATGAATAAAGTTATAGTAAGACATGACTCCAATGTAACACTGCACAGCTGGACTGGTAGGATAGATACAAATTGAGTTAATGAATGGGAACCTACTACTATCAGATACTCATGCAGTACAATGCTCTTTACTTTTATGAATGATTCCAGTGTCTTCCCGTAATTCCTCTCAAAGGTTGATTTGATCTTAACCATGTCCACCTCACAGCAAGAGACCATCACACGAACAAGAGTTCTATCATCAGTACCCAACCCCTGGAAAGAAAAAATCATAAAATTAACATGTTGTACATTATATTGGTACATGTACCACGAAATCTCCAAATACTGTAATATATATTTCATCATTTTCATGACTATGGTTTACTATCCATTTTGACAAAATCATTCATTCCCATGAGTTTGTGTAGGAGGATAGAGTGTGGCACTACAAAACACCACTAGTGTTACCAATTATTATGTTTATAAAGAAACACAACAACTTCGTATGACTATTAATAATAAAAATAGTATCTTCCAATCACCATACAGTGGACACACAGTCTACATGAATGTCAATTAACAGTCTTTCATTGACTTATAAAGCTGCTTAGAGAAGTATGCAGAAAGATTTCTAACACACTTCACATCTAAAATTAGTAACAGTTATTGAGCATAAGAACACACACAACTCACACATACATGTATACATATGTACATGTACATGTAAATCCTCTATCCTCACTTTTGAGTATTCTTCAAAGACAAGACGAAGATGAGCGTAACTTCTAGCACACAGAATCTGATTAAACCTGTCATGATAATAAATAAATAATAATGATAACAATTATTAATTTACACACATTCAAACATTTCTAACACCTAATTTATTGCTATGCAACAATAAATTATGGTAAATGACTCAAATTGAATAAAATAATTGTCAAAGAACATAATAGGCAAATCCAATTAGCCCATAATTCCTGCTAAAGGATATAATTAACTTTGGCTGTAGTTAGCAATACTTGGCTGTACAATAGACGTTGGATGCACAATATAAAGAATGTAAGTGGAATGGACGGGTGTGAAGCTTATTCATTCATCCAATCATAATTTAGTGTAGTCGTGATAACATGAAATGATCACATGCTCTGTGTGTGTGTGTGTGTGTGTGTCTGGGTATGCTTGATTAAAGTATGTGTGTGAGAGAGAGAGGGAGAGGAGACAAGAAGAGACATATAAACACAAACACAAACACATAGACAGACACTGACTAATAGGAAGAATGAGAACTAGCAAGGGAGGGATACTGGAATGTAAAAAAGGAGAAGGAAGGAAGAGAGGGGGAGGAGGAGGAGGAAAGAGCACAACATGAGTAGGACTGCAAGAGTCATTTCAGTTGCATTATATCATCATCATTCATAATGTTCATCATAACATATCTTTACTCTCTCCTCCTCCGCCTCCTCTCTCTCCCTCTTCTACTTACGTTGATTCATCTGTTCCCCACTTTCCCTCGCCAGCTTTATAAAGAGCCTATAGCAATACAATGATGTACATTACTAATGCTAGCTACATGTACAGGTTAGTGATGACTATTGTACTAATAAATATCACTGCTGACCTGAGCATCTTGCCTAGCTCTGTTTTTATCCACAATACTGTCAGGATCACGAGCAGCCTAAGATAATAAAACAATGTAACTAATAGAATATCCAATAGTACCTCATGCTCCCTCCCTTTCATTTATAGTGTATTAATAATGATTACTAGGTGAATGTAAACCATTGAGGGGGCGAGCATGAGTCATTGATTGACATTTATGTAATTTCAACAATTTTTAAAATAAATAAATGTCATAGTCTAATGTGAGAGAAAAGAACATTTTGTTCTGTTTGTGAGGCCATTAACTGCATACGTATAGAGTCTGAACAGAGCAAATATTACCAACCATCAACCAAATAGCCCATTAAAAGAGACAAGAATGCATGCTGCCTATGAGATCAAAATTAGATTTTTTTGTGAATTTCTAAAGTTGCTCAAAAAATTGGGCGAATGGTCTCTCTGGATAAATTTTGTGAAAATTCCAAAGAGATAATTTCTATTTTAATATTTTTCCTGATGCATATAAAAGGTTTGAGCAGATTCCGATCAAAATTATATTTCTTACAAATTTTTAAAGTTGCTCAAAAATCAGTACATGGTTTCTCGCTTCTCTCTATCTCCTAGTTCCCTTAGCCCTCCAATAGTGCTTATAAAGTGAAAATTAATTTAACAAGAAATTAAGATTTTGACAAAATTTTTTGACTGACAAAAATTTGGTATCATGTATCTGATCACATGATTTACCTCTTTGACTTTGCTGCTCCACTAGGTCTTTCTACTTCTTCATTTTGTACACTAGCCATTATTTCTCTTTATAGCTACTTTAGCAGCTTTACTCTCTTTTTACTTCACATGATTTCACATTAAACGTTTTAGATGAAACACTTAGACCATATAGATACAAACACACGTACACTAACACCTCAGCCACTGAGCCACGCCCGACCATTAATTCATGAATCATGATCCGCCTACTCAAACATTAGTGGCACAAAAGCAACTCGCATATATATACATCAGTATTAAATGAAAGTCCAAAGACATAAACAAAGCATTAATGACACAAAAGCAACTGACATACATCAGTATTAAATGAAAGTCCAAAAACATAAACAAAGTCTTAATTAATTAAGACGTGACAGAAAGGGAATGTTGGAGATCCAGCAGGAGGCATAATGGCACCAGGATTGCAAGGGAACTCCATCTTCCTCCGTCCTCCATTATTATTATTGTTATTACAGAACTCCATTAGTTGAAAATGAGGAGGGGAAGACAAGGATGGATACCTTCCAATTCTATGATAAGAAAAAGGGACTGGGCTAAGCCCAGGATTAGCATGATGAGGAGGGCCAGGAGGCAAGAGGCAAGACTGAACTGGTGAGGACTCAGTACTACTGCTACTGCTCTCACTAGAGTGGATTGTTTCATCACATAGTAGCTCCTGCAGTTTTGTAATGTACTCTATTGCAGCTTTAAGAATTTTGTGCTTGCAATACCGTTTTTTAGTAAGGTCAAAGCCAAGAATCCTTCTCAGTTCATTGTATTTCTGCCCAATGCTCTTGATTCTGCTTCTCTCTTTAGAATTTTTCTGCTGTCTCAGTAAGGCTGCAGATTCCTCACTCACCTTTTTAGTTTTATTCTTCCTCCCTTTCTTTTTCCCTTTCTTTCTCCCTTTCTTCCTATCTCCAATTTCTTCTTGACTCTCTTGTTGCAGTTCACAGTGAAAACTAGAAGATGGCTGGCAGTTGTAAATAACAACGGCTGCTTCTGTCGGCCTATTGTCATCTTCATCTTCATCCAGACGATCCACTTGCACTTTAGGCAATGCCCAGTACACATCCATCCTCCCGGGAATAATCTTGCTGACTTGCTGTCCTTCAGTGCGCTGCTGGCGGGCACCAGAGATATTCTTATACCAAAATTACTGCAATTGTTTTACAGGTGTTTCTTGTAGCTGCACTACCTGGCTTGTAGATCATGTATTTGATAACATTCAGCTTCCTACATGGGTTATCGATCATTCTCATGACATTAAACTGGATTCTCTCCTTTATCAAGACTCAAGAGTCCAAAAAGCACCAGTTTTAATTAGAATACATATATATTCAATTAACAATAATTTTCCAGTAGCACACTACGCCTACAGGTCTTTAAGTTATTCCACACAAAGCCTCTAAATACAACTTTATAGTAACAATTAAAAAAAATAAATTGACGAACCTCTCTGCTATACTCACTGTCTTTCACAAAATCAAATCATAATTACTCCTGCAAGAGAAAGAACCAGCTGCGATAATCGCAAATATCCTGCACTCATAATTAACTGCATCTCACCAGTGCCCGTCAATGGTCAATGGTACATAATGCATCCAGAGTTTAATTTAGTGGAGGATAGAACTACTTCATTTACTCCTTACTAATATGAAACACAACTGACTGGCTGACAGAGAAACAAGTGCTTAAAACAAAAATAGCAGCAACTCCATGAAAACTAATTAAATGGTTAAAAATACATTGTAGTCATTTCTAAATTTCTGGTGTTTTATTTTTGTGTACCATATATATGTTAGTACAAGTAGTGAGAAAAACTCTTTGGAATTTATTAATGAGAAATAAACCTTATCTTCTTTAAGACCAAAACACGCAAGTACTGCATAGCCCAAAATTAAGGGCTGTAAATTTCATGGATTTTGCAAATTTTGAAGATTTGCAAAAAATTAATTTTACAAATCAAATTATTATGGTACAAGATTGGGATTAATGGCTGTGAAATGAAGGGAAAGAACATATTAGTATTAATTTAACAGCTTTCCACAAGATTACGCCCACGCATATTAAAATTCCTACAGAGCACTAAAAGTATTATATAAAAATCAAACTACACAAAAATAAAATTAACTGATATAATAATTTGACAAAACTGTTTCCTATAGTTAGTACTCTCCAGCCAAAGCTAACAAAACTCTCTTGTAATCTCCACTGGTGTCTCCCTATGGGTAACAGATATAAGGATTTCTACTATCAATCAATACTCTGCTAAAAGCAATAACAGTATAATGCTTGATTTTTTTTAATTAGATGAGACGCTTTACTGAGTGACAGTTATTTGATACACATAAAAAAGATTATCAATCAATTGATTTAAATATCAAGAAGACTATCATGCTCATTTATGGGATAAACTAGCTAAGAATGCAGACAATCAATCTGGAGTGCTCCCATTTTACTATACAATAAACCAATATCTGTGGTAGGCATATATACACATATTATAGTATGAATAAAGTTATATAACACTGCACAGCTGGACTGGTAAGCTAATTGAGTTAATGAATGGGCACCTACTACTATCAGATACTCATGCAGTGCAATGCTCTTTACTTTTATGAATGATTCCAGTGTCTTCCCGTAATTCCTCTCAAAGGTTGATTTGATCTCAACCATGTCCACCTCACAGCGAGAGACCATCACACGAACAAGAGTTCTATCATCAGTACCCAACCCCTGGAAAGAAAAAAATCATAAATTAATAGTCACATGTTGTACATGTACTTTACATTGGTACATCTACAACAAAAGTACTGTATAGGGGGAAATTTTGGATGGAGTAAAACTTGGCAAATTGCTAAATTTTGGTGATAGGCAGATTTTGATTTGGTGAATTTGTGGCCATGTGCCAATAAACATGTGCATAATGGCTCAAAATGGTGGGTTTTTATTTTGGTGAATAGCTATCAAAATGCCAATTCGCCAAATTTAACCCCCTCCAAAATTTCCTGCTATACGGTAATAGACATTTGCTATAGTTTATTATTATCTTTTACATGACTTTATAATCTAACATACTTTCATTGACTTGTAAAGTCGCTCGGAAAAATATGCAGGAAGATTTCTAACACACTTCACTACATAAAGATATAAAAATGAGGCATCATGCAATGAAGTCATCAATCAATAGAGCATGAATAGTAATAATGTCACTGTATACACAGTCCATTAGTAGATTATGTAATGATTACCAATTGTTGTCATCCCTGTTTTAAGATCACCAGACATCTCCCTGGAAATGGACTGCTCTATGTCATACTTGCATATCTAAAATTAGTAACAATTATTATTAGAGATTAGAATACATTGAGCATAAGAACACAGTCAACTCAAGCATACATGAATACATATGTACATGTACATGTAAATCCTCTATCCTCACTTTTGAGTATTCTTCAAAGACAAGACGAAGATGAGCGTAACTTCTAGCACACAGAATCTGATTAAACCTGTCATGATAACAAATAAATAATAATAATAAATCACACAATAACTACACACATTCAAACATCTCTAAGTCCTAATTTATATTGCTATGCAATAATTTATTATAGGAAATGACTTAAATTGAATAAAATAAATGTCAATACTGGAATGTAAAAAAGGAGAAGGAAGGAAGAGAGGGGGAGGAGGAGGAGGAAAGAGCACAACATGAGTAGGACTGCAAGAGTCATTTCAGTTGCATTATATCATCATCATTCATAATGTTCATTATAACATATCTTTACTCTCTCCTCCTCCTCCTCTCTCTCCCTCTTCTACTTACGTTGATTCATCTGTTCCCCACTTTCCCTCGCCAGCTTTATAAAGAGCCTATAGCAATACAATGATGTACATTACTAATGCTAGCTACATGTACAGGTTAGTGATGACTATTGTACTAATAAATATCACTACTGACCTGAGCATCTTGCCTAGCTCTGCTTTTATCCACAATACTGTCAGGATCACGAGCAGCCTAAGATAATAAAACAATGTATCCAATAGAATATCCAATAGTATCTCATGCTCTCTCTCTCTCTCCTACATTTATAGTAAATATTGATAATTCATATAAGTATTGTTTTCTATCACCCTCTCCTTTAAAATTAATATTTTTTTATTTGTGCAACTTCTTCTACACAATTAGTACTAATATAGTAAATAATAGAAAATGTCACATAACTATTAATGCTAGTATTTTGTGCCTTTGCTTATTATAGTGGTAGCGACCCATTTTTCTCTTTCTCTCTCTCTCTCTCTTACAGCAGTGAGTGATATCAACAGTCGCCTAAAGTGACCAGAAGTTTCACTGTGAATGTGCTTCTCTAAATCTTGTTTATATTCTAATAAAAATGGAGTCATGGTAATAAGTTATAACCAAGAGTACATGTACTCTTGGTTATAATCTACAATGTATTACATAATTGTAACAGTAACTACAATTAGAATTTTTCCCAAGGGAAATAATCAGTATTGCTTATTTTTAATAAACTATACATACCTTTCTTGTAGAAGGTCTTTATGTCTTCTTTCTCAACGTTAGTTCTTGAGCAGAGTATTTCAATCAGAGCTGTCTCATCAGTCCCAGCACCCTATGATAGAGTATAGCGTAATATAAAATATATAGTATATATTATAGTCGTCTACAATACATGTACACAAGCATAAAATGATACAAATAATGTACATTGTAGATTGAAACTTCCCTTAACCAATACATGTACAATTGTACATGTACAGTTAGTTAAAATGTAATGGGAAGCCAGGCAGCTAATGAGCATGTACATTGTGTCCTGTATATAGTACAGTAAGATCAATATCTCCCACACACATACTCCATACTGTAACCTCCCAAGATTGATAGCCCACACTATAGTCATATATTACATGTCATTCAGTACCTCCATTGCTTTGTTAAGACAGTATGCATCAAACTCAGTAGGTCTCATCATTAATCCAATAATGACCTCTCTGAAGTGTCCACTCAACTCACTCTTCAACTCTTTGATTAAATCCTACAAAAAAATTATTAATAGTTATAATTATTATACACATACAAATGTAGCTTATAGAATGCATTGCTGTATTTTACCTTTCCATATTTCACTTTAAATTTGACTTTGATTTCTTGTCTTTGCTCATTAGAGCGTCTTGTCAATACTAGTATGATTGCTTTTTCATCAGTACCTGTACAATACACATGAATGATAATATTCTGGCCCACTACTTATTTATAGGAAAAAAAGATGAGTATAAGCCTACATTACTTATAATTAGAAATTACTAGGGTTTCCTACAAGATTTAGGCAAATAGCATAGGGCATTTTACCAAAAATTGCTATATGAGATAATTCTTCCTTTTTATTACATTTTCTGATACAT